ATTTTAAAGGATATTAAAATAGAAACCATTATTTTATATTGTAATAACATTTTGCAAGATTACTGTTTTTTTCTGTATTTTTGATCAAATAAATGCAGCCTTGATGAGCATAAGAAACTCCTGTAAAAAATTCCAAACTTTTGACCGGTAGTGTATATATATATATATATATATATATATAAAATGGAGAATTAAATGAAGTGAATGCACAAAATCTGAATCAATTTCAAATGTTTCTAGAAGTCAGAATTGATCCACAAAACCCATAAATGCATTAAACGGTGCACCAAACTCGTTAAACTGCTGCTACTACACGAACAGATTGACTCAGCGGTTGCCATGGAGACCAGACTCACCTGGGCATTTTCGTGCTCGACTGAGAAGTTACAGACGAGCCATGTGTCTGGATCGTTCTCGTTATTGGCCATAATCTTACGAATGGCAGACAGGTACAAGACGTCTCTCTGGGACGCTGGCCACACTCTCTACACGGACGCAAACACAAGATAATCTGTCAGAATCAATCAAATCACTATAAAGAAGTGCTTCACTTAGAAAGCATGCTCTCTTCTTACCTTATGAGTCTGGTAGATGATGATGGCGTTATCGGACAGCGTTTCCACGATGTTGAAGTTTTCAACAGTAGCTGGAGACAGACAATAATGAGAGCTGATAAAGCTAAACTCAAGTGAAGAGTACACAGAGGTACTAGACGATGACGAGTAATTCTACCCAAGATGCATCACTATCGACTGGGCCAGTGATCATTAGGAGGAGCGGCTGAATCATCTGGACAGTGAAAGTGTTCTGGTAATTCACTGTATTAAAGCATGTAAAAGCGTGGTAAGAGTATATGCTGCTTACACAGGCCAAACTGTGCTTAGTCATCGAACGTGCTCCATTAATAATGATATGATACAGTAGAAGAGCTTTATTAGATTATATGAAGACGTGTGCCATCATACAAACCTGATTTTTCATGATATTTGTGAGTACAGTAAGAGATTGATATGGCATGTAATTGTACTCTACACCAGGGTTAACTAAAACTATTTATTTTTTCAACTGATAATTAACAAATTGGTGAAATTAAATCTAAAAAGTAGAAAAACTTAAACATTTAAAATGCTATCATGACAACTAACTGAAATAAGTTTAAGTTAAAGCACTAAAATAACTAAGTGGAAATATATAAAAACTAAAACTGAACCAAAACTATATTAAACTAAACGTTAATAAAACACCAAAAATGACAAAAGCGTGTAATAAAATTACAAATTATTTTGAGTGTTGCTATATTTTAATTTATTTTATGTTATGTACTGTGCTGTGTGAGATGCGTTGTGAACTAAATGGGACAATAAAGTTTATTTGTATAGCGCTTTTCACAATACAAATCGCATATTCTTATTGATTCAGTACTGATCATGTTTTTGGTGCAAGGAACTTACAAATTAAGTGCATCTCAGAAAAAATTTAAATGCAACAGAAGTGATTTCTATGGCAGCTTTAAGCTAATGTCTAATACCGTGTTGTGTGTGTGTGTGTGTGTGTGTGTGTGTATATACACTCACTCTCCCAATCGTTACGGACATCCGTGTCCCAGAAGTAGTGGCAGACCTCGTGACCTGTGACCCCTTTGACACAGTGTGTGGCCTTCAGAGGGTCCAGCACGATGCCGGCCGCCTCCACCTCCCGCCGGTACACCTGAGAGAGACAAACACACAGATGGAGAGTGAGTCTGCAGACTAAAACACAGGCATTCGATCAAACTAAAATAATCAGACATTAGATCAAACTCACCTTATTTAGTAGTAGCTTATCAGTGGTGACTATGTCAGTAAAATTCTATTCTATTCCATTCTATTCTATTCTTTATCATGAATAAGAATATAATTATTTTTTGTAATCATTACATTTTCTAAAAGTAATCAATAGTTATTGAGCTACTGATTAAAGGTTTAGTGTAGACATGTTCTTATTGATTCAGTACTGATCATGTTTTTGGTGCAAGGAACTTACAAATTAAGTGCATCTCAGAAAAAAATGTAAATGCAACAGAAGTGATTTCTATGGCAGCTTTAAGCTAATGTCTAATACCATGTTGTGTGTGTGTGTGTGTGTGTGTGTGTGTATATACACTCACTCTCCCAATCGTTACGGACATCCGTGTCCCAGAAGTAGTGGCAGACCTCGTGACCTGTGACCCCTTTGACACAGTGTGTGGCCTTCAGAGGGTCCAGCACGATGCCGTTCTCCTCCACCTCCCGCCGGTACACCTGAGAGAGACAAACACACAGATGGAGAGTGAGTCTGCAGACTAAAACACAGGCATTCGATCAAACTAAAATAATCAGACATTAGATCAAACTCACCTTCATCTCTCCCTCTTCCACCACGAGCTGCCAGTTAGCGTCTCCACCGACGTCCTGCAGGGAGTAGGTCATGTGATTCTGAACCATCTCCTCCACCTGTCCAAAACACAGCAGAACAACAAGGTCAGAGGTCATGCGCTCATTTAAGAGGATCTAGATCAGGGATCTGCAAATCTGGCCCACGAGATCCACTTTCCTGCAGTTTAGCTCTAACCATAATCAAACATGCTAATCAATGTCTTCAGGATCATTCGAAAATCACAGGTAGCTGATTTTGATCAGGGTTGGAAATAAACTCTGCAGCGCATTGGCCCTCCAGAGCAAGATTTGAGGAACCCTGATCCAGATTAATAACACTAAATGTGAACATTACCCAATACTGACTAAATATGATAGCCAACATGAAACGGCTTTCACAAACCATTTCACTTCTGTAATTTGAGTTACTTCTGTATTTCTGAATGAAACAAAAAGAAAACTACTCCCTGCTCTAAAACACCACCAGCACACACTTTTCTGAAGTCAAGTTGTTTCTCCAGACAATTGCCACGTATCCCAACGCTAACAGGCATTTTATATTACTCATTAAACTTTATTATATTAACCAGCACTAAACTACTGGATTTAGAACGGCTGCATTGCATAAAAAAGCAGCCTGAAACAATGACTGTTTATTTAATGCAATTCATTAGCCCTTTATTTACATACTACAAACAAACACAGATAAATCTTTAATGATAAGACAAGGAACATGAATTTAAACAAATTAGCTCTATTTGGATTTCAAGGTGACTTAAAGTAAAATAATTCCAGGAAGGTATTGAACATGCATATTATGATATTAAAAGCAATTAAAAAGTATTATTAGCTGCAACTTCGAATTACAAAGACTCAGATACAGAGGAAATAGAGATAAGGCAGACTATGTGGTTTTAATGTGCTGTAACAGTACATGGTTATCCATCATGCAGACTTGCCAATAAAATGACTGGCTGCGTTTTAAAACCTAATTCGCTGCCTAGCCTGACAGCAGTTTTGGCCATTAGCACAGCATCATACCCACACTAAAATGATGGCCTAAAATGCTGACTAATAGGGCTTTAAACACACACACACACGCACGTATATAGGTCTTTAAAGCATTTAAAAGCAGGACACTCTAATAAAATGTTTTAATGATGGCCAAAAAGTCTTGCTGACTAAGTAGGCAGCTCACTAGGGTTTGAAACGCAGCCATATCTACATGTTTACGAATGCATTGGTGATGCATCATTATGAATCTCATGCTGTAACAGCTGGTAGTGAGTGTTGGATGAGTGTGCTAGAGGGCGCTGTTACCTCAGCACTGAACCGGTGCTCATGGAGTGAAGGAGTGAAGGCTACAGCAGAAGATGAGGGAGAGCAAGGACGAGAGAGGGGCTACACAGGTGAGGAAGAAGAGAGAATGCAGCTTCATCAGGAACCCAAAAAAGAGACCAAGACGGGAAAACAGAGCACCACAGGGACACGAGAAGGTCTATAGACAACCATGACGAGAACAATGAGCTCACCTTCTCAGCGAATCGGTGAGAGCCCACTCTGGAGTAGACGTCTCCTGAAGGCACTGAACTGCTCCTCTGTATCCTGCTCTTCTCACACTGAGACTATAAAAACACACATACATTAATGATAAAAACATAATAACATAACTTGAAACACAATGTGTGAAACTGAATAATCAGAATAGAATGCACTGATGAATCCTGCTCAATAAGACTGGAGACATATTGAGACAATAAATAGACTATAAATAAATTTTTTTTATTTGCTTTACATTTTTAAAAAGCTGAAAATATTTACATTTGCATTACATTTACATTTATGCATTTAGCAGATGCTTTTTTCCCAAAGCGACACATCATGCGGTAAATGTGTCCCATTTGCAGTTTTTAAAATCAAATAAGGCTTTTTAAGACCTTTTTAATACCTGCACAAATATTATAAACTGCAAAACAGGGTAACTGCAAGACATATTTTATTCAATAAATACATATGAATTGCAATTGGTACTAGTACTAACATATTAATATATGCATACTAATATATCAATGCATTTATAGGTCAATTGATATTGGATTTTGCTGATATGATAAAAATATGTTTAAAGAAAGGCAATAAAAATATTAGTGCGCAAAATCTATATATCAAATGTGTTAAGTAATATCCAGAAAAAATATTTTGTGCATAATGTGGGACTTTGAATTATAAACATGCCCCAAATAAGCCTGTAGAACTTGCAATTGTGCTGCGTTTTGACTTTGAACATGCAGCACTCACATGAATTAAATCATAAAATAAGTTTATAATATTTCACTAGTATAAAAGTTTAAAGATTTGAACGTTTGGAAGTGAAGAAATTAAGACAAATATTAGTATTGTAACTTGCAGTGTAAAATAAAATAATTAGGCCTATAAATATCAAATATATATGTGACGCTGGACCACAAAACCAGTCATAAGTGTAAATTTTTCAAAATTGAGAGTTATACATAAATAAATAAGCTTTCCATTGATGTATGGTTTGTTAGGATAGGACAATATTTGGCCGAGATACAACTATATTTTATTTTACAACAGTTTACAAAAGTAATATATTTATATCCTCTTTTTTATCATTAAAGTTAGAACACCTGTTCTTCTATTTTGTCGTGTCTGTCCAGAGCGGCCTCCACGGCGTCAAAGAACTCGTCTTCATTGATCAGGCTGTTTGGACCCTCCTGATGGACAGAACAAGATGAACATCTCCATACAGTTTACTGCTCTTCCTACTTTTGTAACATTCATCAGCGCAAAACAAAACCCACCTCGTAATCGGGCCCTCCAAAATGAGACTTCTTCTTCAGCTCGGACAGGGCTGATTTATACGCCTCCTCCATCCTCCTCCTCTTCTCCATCTCCTGTAAAAAGCAAGAGAGGGGAACGGCTTTAGCTGACTAAACACTGCTGCTGTGATGTTTAATGTCTTGGCGTGAGTAGATCTTGTCTCGGTGTGAGACTGTATCGGTACAGGATTGTTCTGAAGCGTTCCATTGTTCAGACAGAAGCAAAACGCCCGTGTTCTCCTTCTGATTGTATGTGTCAGTATTGTGCTGAATGCTGCTGACTGTGACACATTGGCAGACGGATTCAGCTCCACCTCTATCACACACAAACCCATTAAAACGTCTGGATGAACTTTTCTGGTAAAGATACCGCAGCAGTTATTCACAGAAACAACAGCTTTCCGTGTTTAAAAGTATGGCTTCCATTCATAAACCATCACCAAAACGATGATGCTATAACTATAGTAGTTAAAACAGGCTAAATGCACACATCTGAAAAGCTGTTTGCTGCATATTAATGAAAATTTACAAAATAATAATCCTGTCATGCAAAATGTTCTGATTGGCTCTGATAGAAGACTTCTTACATCAGATTGTACCAGCGTTATTTTAGTATTTAGTATAAGTATTATAAATATAAATCTTTTAGTATTTTAATATTTATTAATATTTTGAATCCACTTTTATTTTTAAATGTTCAGTTTTCATTTTAATTTTGGTTTAAGTTTTAGTGATTTTGTTATGTCTTATATAGTATTACAGTATTTATTAATATTTTTGAATTAGCCTTTATTTTTTATATTTAGTTTTCATTTTAATTTTAATGTAAATTTGAGTAATTTTGTTATGTATTACTGCTTTAGTATTACAGTATTTATTAATATTTTGAATGTAACTTTTTATTTTATATTTTTAGTTTTCATTTTAGTTTGAATAATTTTATGTTCTTTTCTATTAGTTTTCTAATAGTTCTATATAGTTTTAATTTATTTTTATTTCAGTTTTAATCATTTCAGTACTTCAGCTTATTTTGGGTAGTCTAAATTTTGTTTACATAATTTACATTTTTATGCAATATTAATATTTGTAATTTTTAAAGCTTTATTTCAGATACCGAAAACTAGTTTTCACAAACTAGTCGATTAGTTGCACCAGTATTTGATGCTTGTGTCGACTAGTCATGGGTCATGTGACTTCAGCTGCACTCATTCTGTCAATGGGTGACATTATTTTGTATGAAAACTTTTAAAAACCAAATATATCCCACACTACAAGAATGTGAAACCGAATAGTCGACTTCTGCTCTAGGTGATTAGTATAATTAAGTAGTCATGGAAGCCCTACTTTGCTCTGCCAGCTAATGTACCAAATTTGTTCACATATAGCATCAATGCAAAACACTTCCGCCAAAGTTGCAACTCCTTTAGCTGGTGAATTGCCAGGGCTGATGTGCCATAATTTTGACACCAGATCTTGTTCATACATGACTTAACTGTGGGTGCTTTTTTAGCTTCACACTAATGTGTTTTATTTTCAGTCAGGGAAAAATTTCACTCTGTCAGAGACACAATCACAACAGCAGCCTGCCAACGGAGCACTGAAATACAGAAACACCATCTCTCTTCTGATTTGATCAGCTCAAGGACAAGCTCCAGATGTCCGTGTTTCGTACCTTATCCAGTCTCTTCTGCCAGCTGTCCTCTCTCTTCACCATCAGGTCGATGCAGTGAGAAAGTGTAGCCAAGATTCCCGCCGTGGTTGCCTTGAACGTGATGGCCTCTCCTTTAAAATCTATCCCATTAATGCCTTTATGACTCAAACACTGGAATACTGATGGGGAGAGAGAACAAATCCAGTCACACTCCTTGAAGGCACCTTAGAGGCATTCATTTGCCAGACAGTGTTACACAGTGTCCAAATCAGGCACAATGCAATAAAAAGTGATAAATCAAATCTCTTCCATGAGTTTTCTGAGTATTTATTCCAACCAGCAGTTGCCTGAGTTAAATTTTCTATTATATATTTTAAAACATATATTATAAATGTATTATATAATATATACATATATATATATATGCGCATTAATATATGAAATATCTATAATAAGTTATATATATGTTAAGTTATATATATGTTTTGTTAATTAAGTCTAAGTTTATATTAAGTTTATTAATTCATAAACATTTTGTTTTCAATAAAGACAAACAAACTTGTCATGTTTGGTTTGGACACGGTGCAAAACACCTGACGTTCTTTGTCATATTATACAAGAACAGACACGGTATAATGACAACATTCAATTCAGCCATAAAGTATTTCCTCTTAAAAAAAAAAAGCAGAAATGCATAACGCAATGAAAACATCTCAACACAGCTCCACTGGAGACATGCTGACTTTATGTTAGAGATTTCACACAATTCATTACAACAGGAGTGAATTAAGTGGACAAACGGCTCATAATGTCAGTGGCGCCCCAGTACTGTCGTCTCGAGCTGAATCAGAGAGAATTCATTGAGCGTGAAAACCCGCTGATGTTCCCCACATGCAGAAATCAGTAGATGCACTTACATTTCTCCTTGCTGCCGTTGTTGTTATGCAGGAATTCTCCATTGGAGCGAGTGGTAGGGAAACCATCTTCATCATCCTCCACGACTGAGCAGAGAAAACACACACAAACAGCCAGTATGAACTCATGGCCCTGTGGTTGGTGGTGCTCAGATCGGCCCACTCATATACTGAGAGATGACACATACTGTAGTACACAACGCTGAGAGAGATTTAGGGGAAGGACTAGGACGAACAAAAGAGGCAGCTGAACATTTGTGTGAATCAACAGACCCTTGTGTTGTAACAACAGATGCATCCAGAGCGAGCGAGAGCGACGGCACCCATGCAGAGGAATCTGGACGTCGCTGCAGTCTGAATAAGGTTCAGCTTTGTCTAAACATGTGTCAGCATATTCTATATCCTGATCTCTCCCTCATACACCAGAACAGACTCAGTCTACTCACTCTTGTCTCTCTGGAGCTCGTCTTTGGTCACGGCATCAGCGCAGCCATCAAAGTATTTCTGCAGCGTGTCCACCTGCCTACACAGGATGTCTCGAAACGTCTCCATCTCTGACAGCTTCTCTCGCAGACTGTGACCCTTCTGTGGGTCACAAACACAAACGTATGAATTCAGAGTGGGGAGGCATGACATATTGTCACCATATTTGATCAATACTGGACATTTAATTTGGTTCTCACCTTAAAGGAGGAGGTGGAGGTGGCTGAGTATCCGCTGGTGGCTGAAAAGTACATTACAATATAAATTTATTACAACAAGTACATTATTATTTATGGGCTTAAAAACAAGATGCAAACAATCAGAATATTTGAGGTGAAATTCAGTGCAGTCCTGTATCGTGATACGTATCGTATCGTGGCCTCTGTATCGTGATCGCTAATATAATGAGCATTAGCTGGTGATACACAGCCCTACTATTTAATGCTCCTATAACTTTTATTAGGGTAAAAAAAACAGGACATGATATTTACTATTTTTACACACCAGAGGCTTTTAAAATGAATTGTGAATCTGAAATATGCGTGTTAGAGAATGTACAAATGGTTAACATTGTTTGTGTCATATCAGTCAGAAAAGCAGTTCTGGGCTTTTTTTTTTTAGCTAACTTAGTTGTTATTCTTGGCCTAATAACTCTAGGTTTTCAAAAGCCCTTTAAAATTAAATATGTACACAGTTTAGATTAAATGAAAGTATAGTCAAATTTTTTAATTAGCATGTTTTTGTGTTTTGCTTTGGTACCGAAATTGGTACCGAGAACCGTGGATTTTCACTGGTATGGGTACCGAATACTGAAATTTTGGTACCGTGACAACACTATTGATAATAATTAGAAATGTTTCTTGAGCAGCAAATCAGCATATTAGAATTATTTCTGAAGGATCATATGACACTATGAAGACTGGAGTAATGATGCTGAAAATTTGATCACAGAAATCAATTACATTTTAACAGATATTCACACAGAAAACAGCTATTTTAAATTGTAAATAATATTTCACAATATTACTGTTTTCACTGTATTTTTGATCAAATAAATGCAGCCTTTGCTGAGCAGAAGACACTTCTTTTAAAAATATTAAAAATCTCACTGACAACAAACTTTTCAAAGGAGCTGCATATTCAGTTCATATTCACATTGATATTTACACAAGTCAAACACAAACATGACAAAAGCAACAAACTGGTGTGTGTGTGTGTGTGTGAGAGAGAGAGAGAGCGACAAAACTATTTCCACTTCCTCTTCAGGATACTTCACTCACACACACACACACAGTCCAGAGGGTCACTTTCCATGAACTCAGAGCTCTCCTGTGGCTCATTTCATAAGTAACAGCCTCTGAAAATAGTTTCTGAGTTTATTTAGCAGCATAAACACACACACAATGACTGTCTCCCCACGAGGCTTCTGAGCAGAGCATGACGGCACAAGCCCAGGTTACTGTATCTTTCCACCAGATGAACAAAAATTTGACCTCTGTACCACGTTAATAAATTCACCCAATCCAGTCAATCTGAAAGAGGGAATGAAATACGATCTGAAAATCAACTACTTCTCCTCTGACGTTCCGCATACTGAAACGAATCCAGTGAATCGGAGTTCAGTCCGAACACACACACACACACAACACTAGGGGTGAGAAAAAAACGATTTCTTGGATGCATCACGATGCGGATGTGGACGATTCTGAATCGATTCACAAATGTCAAAATCGATTTTCTAAATGTTAATTGACAACATAATATCGACGGAATGCAAAAGACGGAACTCTGAAGCGTGGAAGTGCAGCACCCGGACAGTCTGTGGTGTGCACGTAAGAGACGCATGATCAGGCACCCTCTGCATTAAAAGCTAGTGTATGGAAGCACTTTGGCTTAGAGCCCTGTGCGGGATTGCTTTCTTAAAGGTGCTGTATGTAGGATTGACACCGAGTGGTTGAACTAGGTATTGCAGACCAAATTCAAAATATTGGAGAGGGTTTTTTTTCACCCGGCCCCTCCTCCTCAGACTTGACGCACACGCAGGTTGCCAGATTGACGACACCAACACGAACGAGCGCACTTGACGATGAATGAAATGAAATACGCTGTTTTCTGCCAACTGGCAACCCGGGGTGCCGAAATACAATTGGGTAAACTGGCAGTGGGCGGGTTTCACAAACCAAAACAGAGACCGCCATTCCGGCCCGGAACGCACATTTTCAAAGGAGAATAACTGACTGTAGCATTGTTTTTCAGATAAACAAGTATGTTAACTTAGCATGTTTCTTAAATATCTGCAAACATATTATGGTATTTTTAAGCTTTAGTAGAGTCAAAAACTTACAGCACCTTCAATCCCACTCCTGCAATTTTTGTGTCCAGTCCTGCCCGCTCTCGCAAACATTCATAATATTGTATATAATTTTTGCGCATCAGGGAGCCGCTATCAATATGAGGGCTATTGAAATCACTTGTGAATGATCGCTTGCAGTTCACTTTCACGATCATTCTGCATTCTGTAAAGGGAGCACATCTTACAACAGGGCTCAAGACTCATTCTTCCCACTGGTCGCTCTTTTGCTAAAAACTTTCTCAGTTGGTCGCACGAGCACATGATTTGGTAGCAATTTTTTTTTCTTTTTGCTACAACATGGGATTAATCAATGCATGCTGATGAACTTTTATCATAGTTTATAGTTATATGGAAACGAAAGAGGTTAACATTCAACCTGTTCTTTTTCTGCAGTAGTATTTGTGATTTGAATTTTGTGAACGGGATTTCCTCTTTTGCTGTGTTATAAGCCGGTCTTCGGATGCTTTCACTTTCAAATTCGTGATCTTGTTGTCAGGTTTTACAAGAAAAGATAATTTTCTTGATTTTTAAGCAATCTGATTTGCTTACATACATCTATACATATTTCACTTTTTAAGACTAAAAAGATGGATTCTTTGTTATTCTTAATTAAAAAGCACAACAATAAAACAGTAAGATACAATGACAAACTAGCTTACAAAACATTTATTAACAAAAACTAATAAGATGAGGCATGACATACACCACATGCTGTATTATATACCGACTAATAAATTACAGAACGTTTAGCAAACACTGAGGAATCAAATAAAAAAATAAATAAAAGAGAGCTTCCATAGCATAGCTTTTCAAAATTAAAAAAAGAAAAGTAAAACTAAACTTGCTGTCGGTGACAGTGCTTGCATGTTTTTTCCCCCCCATAAGAATACCAACATGTTCACCTTCTCTGGTTTAAGAAGCGGTCTTTTACTTTAACTTGAAACCTTCCATCGTTTCCTCAATATTTGCGTAATTTTTGCTTCGTGCTCCTGCTGACGCGGCGAGTATAAACCAGGCTCTACACTCTTAAGCTCTGCGCAGTTCAAACGAGTAGCGCGGTTTCGTTATGCTTTCAGTTTCGTTTGCCGTTTGATGTTTCTCATATGCAACAGAAATGGCAGAGCTTATGAGTTGAACAACGCGGCGCGACCGCTCACAAAATTTAGTCGCACAGGCAGAAAAAATGGTTTGGTCGCAGTCTGGAACCCTGATATGTAATAAAAACAAAAACGAATAAAAATGTTGCTACAATTACTAAAACAGGATCTGTTGAGCAGCAAATCCTCCAGCATGAACTTGTCAGTCATCTCTCCTTACTTTCGACCCCTGATCAGTGAAATCTGCCTCCTGCAGTTCATGTTGAATGCAGGGTTGTCAAGTCCGTGTTCTTCTATGAAGTTGAAGGGAAAAAAGACCTGGACAATAGCCACACTATATGCAAGTCGTGTCTAGGGCTGGGTATCGAGTTCGATACTTTTTAGGCACCGACCGAATTGCCTCGATACCATCGAGTATCGAAAAACGTCTTGTCGTTCGGTACCAAATTTCGATACCTAAGGGGTTAATCTCATCAGCGTCAGTGAGCCAATAAGCCTGCAGCACTTGCCGGTGTGTTCGCTACAGGCACACATTTCTTTTCCTGTTGGTTCTTTGCAATGATGGGACATTTGCTGGCAAATGTAAACTTCCAGATGACTTGCCAAATCACTTCCACTTGGTTTTATTAATAAAAGATATTGGAAGTAAATTCATTATTGACCATTACAAATACTTTGCTTCAATAGTCACACAGTGAGAAAAAATAAAATCTGTATAGAAAAAAAGATGCATCGATAATCGTTTTATCATCGCATCGCAGCCCACTAAATCATAATCGAATAGTGAGGTGCCTAGAGATTCCCACCCCTAACACACACACACACACACACACACACACACACACACACTGAACACAAAGCCCAGAGAGAAATAGGAACACACACATATACCTACACAAACAAACCTTTCCTGTAGATAAGAACTGCCTGTAAACACACACGACTTTACGGTCAAAACAATCTATTTATGTTAAATATATGTACACCTGTCAGAGCAGATAAGAGTCAAAACAACTGAATGGAAAAAAATATATATATCTCAGTTTATCTATCACAAGATTTTACCGCAAAATACAGATTAATTCATCTAGCTATATTCAATATGGGATACTAGTATACAATTTGCTGTATGCTATGTAGTATATACTCTTTCAAACCCAGTATGTAAAACAATTAGTGACACAACCGAACATTTTTGGCATTGGCAGGAATGGTTTTGGTGAAACGTCTATAAAAAATGTAGCTAAATATATGGACTGCATTACATATTCATTATATTTTTTTATTTAACCAGATAGTGTTGTCTTCATTATTTAATGTATGTTTGAATAAATCTGTAATGAGAACTTTCATTTAGAATTAGCGTATGTACTAAGCAATACCCAATATGCTACATTGTTGTCACATGACATTACATATATTGCATGGTATTCCGCATATTTTTAATATCCATCGCTATTATTTAGCATTTTTAATCAAACTGTGTGAAATTGTAATTTGCAGGTCAATGAAATATTGAGTTAAGTAAGAAACATTAAAGCAGACATTACACTGGAAATTCAATGGTAAAAACGTTGCATTGTGGGATAATGTATAGCTCATTTTGGATATGAATATGGAAAAACTCATTGTGTGCACAGTATGTAGAATGAAGTATGCTATACTGAATATACACACTGTCTTTAGTGAGGAATGAAACCTTGTCCTGCACTAGATGGCAACAGTGAGTTCATGTACGGTTGAGTGGGCAGATTCTGAGGTAACTATCAGAACCAGAGAATCAGCATTCAGAAGCTGTGTCCGAAACCGCTCCCTATCCCCTATATAGTGCACTATATCAGGTGTCAGCCTTTTTGTAGTGCTGTCCGAATTCTGAGTGAACGAGTTCATTCCCTACATTCGTTCACTACTTTTCACCCACAATCCTCTCTGATTTCGAGTGTACAACTGATGTACACTCGCTGAAGCACTACTATTTCCCATAATCCAATGCAAAAAAATATTATTAAGGCATTAACTCAGTTGACATGCAGTGTATACGTCAGCATCCAAATTCGTTCACTCCTTTCGGATTCGCATTCACTACAGCCATCAAACGCACTCTTACTGTGACTTAGGGGTGTGCGATATATATCGTCTGCGATAATATCGTAATTGTTGTTTTAACGATGTGCGATTTGACATTATCGAGTATTTTGCAAAAACCATTCCAAACATCCCTACAGAGCGCACGCATACATTACGTGAAGCCTAGACTAGTGTGTGTGCGCATTTAGTGTGTTTTCTTTCACTGCATGATTCAGGCTATTAAAATGCATTTAGAATGATCACAAAATTCAAGACTGTGTTGATTTAATTTGCTTGGTAACAGCCCAAATGTCTTATTATTCTAATTCCCTGATTAAATGTAAGAATTTGGCTCAAAAGATAATGGACACTTTTAGAAAAAATGGCTTTATAACGGTAAAAAATGCCCATAAAATGCAAAAATCAGTTTAAACTTATTGGATTTCAGTACTTATCAGTATGAACTGACCACCACACAGAATATGAAGAATATTAAAAACATTAGGAGTCAGCTGTCTTCGGCAGTCCTTAAGATACCAGCACAATAACACACTCAGCAAAATATCGTCTAATTATCGTTATCGATAAAATCCCAGAAAATATCGAGATATAATTTTTTGTCAATATCGCACACCCCTACTGTGACTATGGCATTGATAACGCCTCCACTGATCAATCAGAAGTACAAAATAACAGCCGTGTTTTTGTTACACAATCAATAGCCTCAGCGGCTGGAGCACAGATGATAAACTTCAGGATAATAACATCCATTAATGCTGTATCACAGACCACACACACCAAATCAATAAACCTAATCGAGTGATTACAAAAGACAGCAGGAGAGAGAGAAAATGAGAAGGCACTGTCATCAGTGTCATGTTTAATTCAGCAGCAGTATCATTAAAATATATTGTGTGCAGTGTTATTTTAGTATCATTAATAGTTTGTTTTAATATTTTGAGCAGTTGACTAGAACTAAAACTGAAGCTAAAACAATTTTAAAAAATTGTTACTTTAAATGATAACTGAAAAAAAAAACTTATTTAGGCTAGTTAAGAACCACACAAACACAAATTAAAGCATTACCTAAAAATAAAATAAAAACGTAACGTATAAAGATAGAACTTGATTCAAAATATTAATAAAAACATAACAGTATCTCAATAATGCTAAAATAACACTGAATTTGAATTCGTTTTTATTTTTAATGTTTTAATTTAAATTTTAGTTAGGCCTAAAATTTTTGTAATATTGATGTGTTTTTGACATTTTTAATATTTAATTAATATGTTTTCTTTTTCATTTCAGTTTTAATTATTTTACCACTTTAGCTAAAAATAAAAATTTTCAAAAATGTTTAAATATATTTTCTTTTAATTTTCTTTTATTTCAGTTTTAGCTTGAGCTATTTTCGTACTTCAACTTAAACCAGGGCCTGAATTTCGTTTTGGAAAATGGGGGGGAAATCCCCATGGCTCTTATAGGGTTTTTTTTTTTTTTTTTTTTTTTGGGGGGGGGGTTGGGGGTTTTTTTTAAATGTTCTGTTTGATTTTTTA